TCAGGAAGGTGAGTATCACACAGTGCCATATTATTAGAACAATCGTTCTTGTACTGAGGCAAGATTTAAGTAGAGGCCCAAAGTCCATCTGTTTCTGTATTGAATTTACTTATATATACATACATAGACAAATACCCCTATCTTTATATATTTACATATAGACATATCTCTCTATATAATTATAACTTTCTTCTTCTTTCCTCTTTTTCTTTTTTCGTTCCTCCTGCCCACTATCATGTTTTTCCATTGTTTACCTCTCAATAATTCCTCTCAGATACATTTCAGTTGATCAAACATGACTAAGGAACTCTGCACCCTCCTCACTGTCAATTTAAAAACCACTACTATTCCCCGATCCTTGTCCTTCTTGGCTCACCACTCATTTACCCCCACACACAAACACGCCCTCCCCTTCCATTCACCCCACCTCCAACTGTTGGGACCCATCAGTATCTCCTTGGGGTTGCTTATTCTGTCTATCTTATATCGATAGACACCAAAAGAGAAAAAGAAAAGGGGCCAATAGCGGGGCGTGGGGAGGGACCATACAAATAGTTCCAAGTCTAATTGATATCCTAACTTAGGGTAGCTGTGTATCTCTCTGTTCAATAGTGAGTGGGCCATTAGAATCCATCAGTCCAATCCCTTTTTTTTTCAGGGTTCCATATCCTGGGACCTGCTTATCCAGCAGCACTTATACCCTTTTACTCCTTGTGTTAGACAGGGTTCTCTAGAGAAACAAAACCAGGACACTTATGATTTTATATATAGAGATTGATACAGCATGAAGGAATATAACAGCTAATTAGTCCACACAGCAGTACAGAGGGCTCAGTTCAACTCACTTCCACGGAACAGTTAATATTCTGGAAGTTCTTCAACTCACAAGGGCTGCTAGATCCGAGGTCAAGGAAGCAGACAGCCAAGTCTTCTGTAGAGCAATGCAGGCAGTCCAGCCACAGGCAGCAAACAGCAGGGTGGGTCACCAACAGTCAGTCAGACAACAGGATCCAACAGTCCCAAGCTCACTCTATGTACACACCAGCAGTGGGGTGAAGCAGATCTCGAAGGAACCTCAAGCTATAGTGACATCATTCCACACGTTGGGTGTCCCACAGGTAGTGTATACAATCAATAGAGAACAAGAGATAGAGGTGGGACTTGCCAAGCCATTTATCTCTTTGCCCTCCAATCAAACTGCAACCTTATTAATCCCACATGTTCTTATTGGCCAGGTTGGCACAATAAACCT